GGACTAATAGCAGCTAGGTAGTAAGGATCAGGTAGGAAGATATTATGAAGCCAAACAGAACACGCAGTCACTCAGTGAAGACAAAAGATAGTGCAATCATACAATGACTTCACAAGGAGTAACAGTAAGTAAAGGGAAGGGAAGATGAAACCAGTGACTCGTTAAAGACAATGATTTGTTGGACCAGATCCAGTTGCTGTGACAACTGTACGTCTGGTTAGGGCGGCTAGGTATTTAAACCTTAGGACACACAGTTCCGGACACCCAGTCCTGAACACGCAGCTCAGGACACCCAGTCCTCACCGTATTCCCCTTGAGCTAAGGTCACATAGACCTCGCCCAATCACTCTGGTAAGTCTTCAAGGTAGACTCCAAACCTTCACAGACTTCGTTCACCGGCAATCCACAATGTCTCTTGGATGCTCAGAACGCGACGCCTAACCGGCTGGAGGATGCACAGTCCTCAAGTGTAATAAGTCTTCAGATCACACAGACAAGAAGACTTAAGTGATGCCCAATTCTCTCTAGCACTGGGTGGTTAGGGCTTTATCCTCGCAAGGAATTCTCTCTCAAAGGCTTCGAGGTGGGTTGCTCTCAAACGACAAAAGCCGTACTCTCAATCTGAGCAGCCAACCGCTTATGGTTGTAGGGGGTGGGCTATTTATAGCCACTTGGCAACCCGACCTGATTTGTCCGAAATGACCCTGGATCACTAAGGAACTGACACGTGTTCCAACGGTCAGATTTCAAACTCACACGGCAACTTTACTTGGGCTACAAGCAAAGCTGACTTGTCCGACTCTGGACAAGATTCGCTCTCAAAGTCTTCACTCGAAGACATAGGTTTTGGTTAGGCATCACTTCAGTCATTCTGACTGGTTCTCTTGGACCCCACTTAACAGTACGGTGGTTCCTATGACTCAACACAAAAGAAAAAGAACTACGAAAGATCTAAGTCTTCGAGCTCCATAGGCTTCATGTGGTGTCTTCTCTTGTCATAGTCTTCAATGTGAATATCTTCATATACCACCTATGACTTCAATGTCTTCATACATTTTTAGGGGTCATCTCTGGTAGGAAAACCGAATCAATGAGGGACTTCTACCTGTGTTATCCTGCAACTCTCACAAACACATTAGTCCCTCAACTAGGTTTGTCGTCAATACTCCAAAACCAACTAGGGGTGGCACTAGATGCACTTACAATAATCTTCATTGTTTATCAGGATGCTTGGGTCAGCCTTGACATTGAAGGGAGGAATTTCATGAAAGTTTTCATAATCTTCAGACATGTCTGTCTTGCCGTCCACTCCCAGGATGTCCCTTTTTCCTGAATGAACTATGTGGCGCTTTGGCTCATCGTATGATGTATTCACTTCCTTATCTTTTCTTTTTCTCGGTTTGGTAGACATGTCCTTCACATAGATAACCTGTGCCACATCATTGGCTAGGATGAACGGTTCGTCAATGTACCCAAGATTTTTCAGATCCACTGTTGTCATTCCGTACTGTGAGTCTACTTGTACCCCGCCGCCTAACAGATTGACCCATTTGCACTTAAACAAAGGGACCTTAAAATCAGGTCCGTAGTCAAGTTCCCATATGTCCACTATGTAACCATAATATGTATCCTTTCCACTCTCGGTTGCTGCATCAAAGCGGACACCGCTATTTTGGTTGGTGCTCTTTTGATCTTGGGCGATCGTGTAAAATGTATTCCCATTTATCTCGTATCCTTTGTAAGTCAATACAGTCAAAGATGGTCCCCTGGACAACAAGTACAACTCATCACAAATAGTGTTGTCACCTCTGAGACGTGTTTCCAACCAACTGCTGAAAGTCCTGATGTGTTCACATGTAATCCAGTCGTCGCACTGCTCCGGGTGTTTGGAGCGCAGACTGTTCTTGTGTTCATCGACATACGGGGTCACCAAGGTAGAGTTCTGTAGAACTGTGTAGTGTGCTTGAGACCAAGAATATCCGTCCCTGCATATTATTGAGTCTCTTCCAAGAGTGCCTTTTCCAGTCAGTCTCCCCTCATACCGCGATTTAGGGAGACCTATCTTGTTAAGGCCAGGAATGAAGTCAACAAAAAACCCGATAACATCCTCTGTTTGATGGCCCATGGAGATGCTTCCTTCTGGCCTGGTGCGATTACGGACATATTTCTTTAGGACTCCCATGAACCTCTCAAAGGGGAACATATTGTGTAGAAATACGGGCCCCAGGATGACAATCTCGTCGACTAGATGAACTAGGACGTGCGTCATGATATTGAAGAAGGATGGTAGGAACACCAGCACGAAACTGACAAGACATTGCGCCACATCACTCCTTAGCCTTGGTACGATTTCTGGATCGATCACCTTCTGAGAGATTGCATTGAGGAATGCACATAGCTTCACAATGGCTAATCGGACGTTTTCCGGTAGAAGCCCCCTCAATGCAACCGGAAGCAGTTGCGTCATAATCACGTGGAAGTCATGAAACTTTAGGTTCTGAAACTTTTTCTCTGGCATATTTATTATTCCCTTTATATTCGATGAGAAGCCAGTCGTGACCTTCATACCGAGCAGGCGTTCAAAGAAGATTTCTTTCTCTTCTTTCGTAAGAGCGTAGCTGGCAGGACCTTTATACTGCTTCGGAGGCATGCCGTCTTTTTCGTGCAAACGGTGTAGGTCCTCCCATGCCTCAGGTGTATCTTTTGTCTTCCCATACACGCCCAAGAAGCCTAGCAGGTTCACGCAAAGATTTTTCGTCACGTGCATCACGTTGATTGAGGAGCGGACCTCTAGGTCTTTCCAGTAGGGTAGGTCCCAAAATATAGATTTCTTCTTCCACATGGGTGTGTGTCCCTCAGCGTCATTCGAAACAGCTAGTCCACTGGGACCCTTTCCAAAGATTACGTAGTGTAAATCATTAACCATAGCAAGCACGTGATCACCGGTGCGCATGGCGGGCTTCTTCCGGTGATCTGCCTCGCCTTTGAAATGCTTGCCTTTCTTTCGACATTGATGGTTGGTCGGAAGAAATCGACGATGGCCCAGGTACACGTTCTTCCTGTATTTGTCCAGGTATATACTTTCAGTGTCATCTAAACAGTGCGTGCATGCGTGGTATCCTTTGTTTGTCTGTCCTGAAAGGTTACCGAGAGCGGGCCAATCGTTGATGGTCACGAACAGCAACGCCTTAAGGTTAAATTCCTTCTGTCTGTGCTCATCCCACGTACGTACACCGTTTTCATTCCACAGCTGTAAAAGTTCTTCAACTAATGGCCTTAGGTACACATCAATTTCGTTGCCGGGTTGCTTAGGGCCTTGGATGAGAACTGGTATCATAATGAACTTCCGCATCCAAGGAGGAAGGTTATACATACATAGAGTCACGGGCTAGGTGCTGTGATTGCTGCTCTGCTCCCCGAAAGGATTAATGCCATCCGCGCTTAAAGCAAACCATACATTCCTTGGGTCCTTTGCAAACTCATCCCAGTACTTTCTCTCGATTTTTCTCCACTGCGACCCGTCAGCGGGTTCTCTCAACTTCCCATCTTTCTTTCGGTTCTCACTGTTCCATCACATCAACTTGGCATGCTCTTCGTTTTTGAACAGACGTTTCAACCGTGGTATTATAGGAGCATACCACATCACCTTCGCAGGAACCCTCTTCCTGGGGGGCTCGCCGTCAACATCACGAGGGTCATCTCGTCTGATCTTATACCGCAATGCACCGCATACTGGGCATGCGTTCAGATCCTTGTATGCACCGCGGTAGAGGATGCAGTCATTAGGGCATGCATGTATCTTCTCCACCTCCAATCCTAGAGGGCATACGACCTTCTTTGCTGCGTATGTACTGTCGGGCAATTCGTTATCCTTTGGAAGCTTCGTCTTCAATATTTTCAGTAGCTTCTCAAATCCTTTGTCAGCCACATCATTCTCTGCCTTCCACTGCAGCAATTCCAGTACGGTACCGAGCTTTGTGTTGCCATCTTCGCAATTGGGGTATAACCCTTTTTTGTGATCCTCTAATATGCGATCGAACTTCAGCTTCTCCTTTTGACTAATGCATTGCGTCCTTGCATCGACAATGACCCGGCGGAGATCATCATCATCGGGCACATCGTCTGGTTCCTCTTGATCTTCAGCAGTTTCACCCGTTGCAGCATCATTGGGCACATCGTCTGGTTCCTCTTGATCTTCACCAGCTCCCCCCGTTGCAGCATCACCGTATTCAGGGGGCACATAGTTGTCATCGTAGTCTTCTTCTTCGCCGTCTTCCATCATAACCCCTATTTCTCCGTGCCTCGTCCAAACATTATAGTGTGGCATGAAACCCTTGTAAAGCAGGTGGGAGTGAAGGATTTTCCGGTTAGAGTAAGACCTCGTATTCCCACATTCAGTGCATGGACAACACATAAAACCATTCTGCTTGTTTGCCTCAGCCGCATCGAGAAACTCGTGCACACCCTTAATGTACTCGCGGGTGTGTCTGTCACCGCACATCCATTGCCGGTTCATCTGCGTGCATTATATATAATTAAGTGTCCAAATTAATAGAAGTTCATCATCACATTAAAACCAAAGTGCATACATAGTTCTCATCTAACAACATATAGCTCTCCAGAGCATCTAATTAATTAAACCATACATTAAAACTATATAAAACATTTCAATGCGAAAACAAATGCGATCATAATCGCAACCAAGGTAACAATTGATCCAACGGCATAATGATACCAAGCCTCGGTATGAATGGCATATTTTCTAATCTTTCTAATCTCCAAGCGCATTGCATCCATCTTGATCTTGTGATCATCAACGACATCCGCAACATGCAACTCCAATATCATCTTCTCCTCCTCAATTTTTTTTATTTTTTCCTTCAACAAATTGTTTTCTTTTTCAACTAAATTTAACTTCTCGACAATAGGGTCGGTTGGCATTTCCGATTCACATACATCCTAGATAAATAAAGTCTATGTCACGTTGGTCGGCATAATTTTCATAAACAATAAATGAACCAATAGTTATAAAGATAATATACATACCACATCCGAATCATAGACAGGACGAGGGCCGACGGGGGCGGATACCAAAACCATCGCACTATATAAGATGCAATAATAAATGTAAGAAAATGATACAAGTATCTATCTAAACATACATGTAAGAATATTTTTCCTTTCAGAAAGAAGATAAGAACAAGAGGCTCTCCACGGTGGTGTCGATGATGAGATCGGCGCGGGTGATCGACGGCGGTGAAGACGGGGATGGGGCGTGATGGACCGCTAAATCTAGACAAATCTCGAGGAAAATGGAGCTTGGAGGTCGAGCTTCGAGAGGAGAAAGCTTAAGTAGTGTGGCTCGGGCATTCCATCGAACACCTCATGTGCATAGGAGGTGAGCTAGAGCACCACAAAGCCCTCTCCCCCTCGGCCAGAGAAAAACAGAACACTGGGGTGCTCTGCTCGCGAGCGAGGGGTAAATATAGGCACCTCATTGGTCCCGGTTGGTGACATGAGCCGGGACTAAAGGGGAGCCTTTGGTCCCGGTTCAAGCCACCAACCGGGACCAATGGTGGTGGGCCAGGAGCGAGGCCCATTGGTCCCGGTTCATCCCACCAACCGGGACCAAAAGGTCCAGATGAACCGGGACCAATGGCCCACGTGGCCCGGCCGGCCCCCTGGGCTCACGAACCGGGACCAATGCCCACATTGGTCCCGGTTCTAGACTGAACTGGGACTAATGGGATGACCCGGCCTGGACCAAAGCCCTGTTTTCTACTAGTGGACACTCACACTCGTCCAATGGTGCAGATCATTGATCAAGACGTCCCTGGGTACCATCCGACGATGGGTGAAATTATAGGTTGAAAGATCTTTGTACAACAAAAACATGATCCTCATCATCCTCTACCCTGATTGGGCATCAGGTTGCACTTTCTTTTTTAAAATTGCATGCAGTTTTCCTTTCTTTGCCGGAGATAAGTTCGGTTCAAAGAGTTCACACTCTCATTTTGCATTACTAGTACCATTTAACAACAGAACAAATCATACAACTTCCTAAACATGTAACCTGTAAGAAAACTCCCCAATCCATAGAACAAATTTAAAACTAGACAAAACTTTAACAATCATTTCTAAACTATCATTTCATTAAAGTGATTTCCGATTACTTTTTTACTCTTCAAGACAAGGGCATGTTGTGTTTCTTAAAAACAAACATGTCACGACGTGTCAAATATGGAGCAACGCTATTCATATGTACAAACTTTATAAAAATGTTTATGTATTAGTTCAATCTACTATCAGTTAGCTGAAATCAATGGAGTAGTTGCCAATCCAAATAAAGTACTCCTTCGATCCAAAATAAGTGTCGTTGGTTTGTACCAACGACACTTATTTTGAATCGGAGGGGTAGTATGTAAAGATTTTGTAGAAGTTTTACGTAAAAATAGGATTTCCAGAGGTTATGGGCAAGTTGCCGCACGGCTTGGGCAATCAGAAAGGAGGAACTGCGGTGCTGCCTGGGTACGGTGAACATACACCAACATTAGGCACAATGAATTCAACGATATCCTCAGTTATAGCGGGCAACCTGTGATTGATTGGTTGGTTTGATTAGGGAAATCCAAGCAATAGCCCCTACATCACGTCCTAGATTAGCGCCAAACATGCTTAAAAATGATTTGGCGGGTGAACTTACGTGCAGGTGCAGGGAAAGGTGGTGGCGGATCCCATGTCAGGCGGAAGCCATCGGCATAGTTTTGAATAGCCGGCTATAGCTCCGCTATAGCCTTTTCAGCAGGGTGCCGCTAAATGTTCGCCTTCACGAATAGCCCGCTATAGCTTCACTATAGCTGATTTGGAGGCTCGCCGCTATCTTCCATAGCCCGCTACTTAAAACATTGGCCATCGGTGATGAACTGCTCGTAGTCAGTCGTGTTTGTCACACCCGACGTGGCCATCACCGGCACGATGACAGTGTCACAACCTTTCAGAGCATAACCGGAGTAATTCCCGGTCGCGTCGGAACGCATGCCAACACGAGCAAACATGTTGCTCCCGTTCCCACACCTCAGGCTCGTCCGCACCAGCTCTTTCTCCCGGCGTGCCACAGCCGCTGCTGCGGCCTCCTCCGTGCAATTGTACACTGACGAGGTTCTGGTTGGCGGTGTTGATCCTAAACGGACGGGCCAGTTTGACGGAGGTGTTCCAAATCGGTACATGGCAGCTGTTGGAGCCTAACAAAAATTTCTGCATGCCATAATCAACGACACGCAAGTTGTCTTCCTCGTAAGAGATGTTGATGATTGGAGAGCCTAATCCGAAGGGCGTAGAGGTCCGTAGATAGGGAGTGTTGTTAAAGCAAGTGACCTCATAGTCCGGGGAAGGGCATGGTCTTCCTGTCTCCCAGTTGGTGAGCCAGAATGGGTAGGAGATGCTCAGGTCGCCGCATGTCTTGGGCGAGCCCGAGCAGCCTTCTCCTTGCTGCTCCTCAGCCGCCACGACGGCTAGCATCAGTGCTAGCCATAGGGCCGAGAAGAACTGGCAGCTCGGAGACATGGCAGAAGAAGATTTGGATAGATTGCAGTGAGCAACAAAGGGCCGACTGGATCTGTTTGTCATGGGCAATGGGAACCTACATGTAAGCGAGAATACCACATGGTGGAAGCACGAACCATATATAGAGGGCAGCCGAGTGGAGTACTATTGGTGGGAACATTTGACTGGCAAATCAGGGCAAGATCACCGTCCAAAAATTCCCACCCAGTGACCCTTGGACTGGTAAGCAATGAGTTCTAATATTTCCGGGCAAACCATTTAACCATGACCAAGACCTCCATGGTGTGACGGGTAAGCTTTAGGCTGGTTTTTTCGGTTCTGGCTACTTCATGCTCTTGTTGCCTAGCTAGCTAGATTCTAATATTGGCACAACATTCACACTTGGTAGGTAACAAAATCCAATACAAAAAGAAGTTCCTCTGCCCTGATCTGTCACTGGATCGCACAATTTAGAAATTACATCCAAATTTCATTGTTTGCATGGGAGAAGTCAAGTTCAAACTGAGAGATCACACATTTATTTTGCTGTATTTAATTTTCTAACGTGCAACTTGGTTGAGTTAGAGATAATGATTTCTCGGAGCAAAATATGCAAACAATTTCAAGGAATGGCTACCTAGCCAATAACGTAGCTTCTTATGCCCATCTCTTCCCTTTTCCTTTTTAATTTATCTATCCGTACACACCACTCTTTTAAATATATACATTTTTTTCTTTTTTTGAAAAGGGGATAACAACGGCCTCTGCGTCATATGATGCACGCAGCCATAAATATATACAATTTGCAGTGGTGATTTTTTCTACTATTTCCATTCAAAACAAGTGTGAAACTTTTCTACGCAAATGAATTTCAAAACAATTGTGTAGGATCTCAATCCTCAGATTTTGTTCCGGTACATTAGATAAAATTGCTTGATTGGCATTTTTGTTTTCTATGGGAAACTTTGCTCGAAGGAAAAGAATTCTCACCGCGGCAAAGCTCTTGGAAAATTCCATTTTGTTTATGACAAATATGGTAAGGCATGTACCTTTTTTTCTTTTTAAAGGTGTTGTGGTTATTTACTTATGTTTTCAAGTTAATCATATGTGCAATGATATGTAAATTATAATTTCTCAAATACTCCTAGAAAAGGAGCATGCATTTTGGGGGGTTACAAGGATGCACACCCACTCAAAAATACTTTTATTCAGAGAGGCCTTGTCAGCCCATCACCAGTCCACCAGGGATAAGGCTCAAAAGTGAAATAAAAAGACAAATAGGCCCATTTACCTCTATGTCTGAAAGCTTTGACCAGATTACTGCAATGGATGATGCCAATTTGGGCCATAGTGCCGACTTGAGAAGATTAAGAGTTTACACAAAATGTTACTAAAAAAAGGAGTTTACACAAACTAGTTAGATACCCGTGTGTGCAATGGAACAAATTTGTTCTAGTGGTTCAACATAGAATATTTTTGATTCAGTTCCCCTAAAAAGAAGGAAAATTTTGATTGAGTTGAGATTGAGATATCTTGCGGGAAGGTAATTCATAGGCAAATATAATGAAAGATATGATGAGATTGAGATTGTATAGGCACAACTATGTAAGTTGATTTTGTTGTTTACTTGCAAGGGATTTCTTCCCCCGGAGAAACGAGGAGGTGAGGGCCAGTTTGAAAAAAATAATCGGTGGAAGCAATGAAAGCAAAAGCAGCAAACACCCCTTTAATAATAGGAGACTAAGAGATCACTAGCGGATCCCCTAAACTCGATCTTTCAACGCCTTTTTCCAGATCTTCCCTTTTTCCTATCTTCAAAAAAAAAATCCTACTAGAAGATCTCCTAAACTTAACCCCCCAAACCAACTCGACCCACAAAGAAGCCTCTAATAATCTTCGGCTTCCTTCTTCATTCCGCGTGGCTAACAACGATTACTCGGCACTATGTGATGTCCATGAGCAAGATAGGGCCTAGGATAGATGATCCGCACAAGTAACTTGAGAGAGGCTCACCAAGCGCGACATACACGTGCAACGAAGGAGTTGAGAATGTAGGTGAAATCCATCCTCCATGGGACATTGTTTGAGAACTTCTTCATTTGAAAGGGTGCTTCTCCTCTTCCGTCTTCCACTGACACATGGCATTGTCCAAAACACAACGAATCATCAAAATCGGTAATGGTCGGGCGGTTGTCATTGTTCTGTCTACATAAGGTGAGTTCTTCGTCTGTAGGTGCCCGGTGCGACGCCAGGACGGGATATTGTTTTCGTGCAATTATAGTTTCAGAGGGATCTAGCGGATGCTCTAACAAAAGCCACTTGCTGTGCACCAGCTCCACTTGTCCAATGATGCACACGTCTACGTACCTAATGACCGCACTAGTTTACATGCCTGCCACAACCGAAGCATCTGGCAAGTACCACACCTAATAATACTCGATCCTTTTGTGTGACACTAACAATGACGGATTACTTATATGATATTAGTATATGATACTGTCTTCTTAATGTATGGTATCATAGGTTAATATTTATGACAGGGTGTGCGCTGGCTCGTCAGCGGCCTGATATCTACCGGAAAGAAGCAGAAAAGCCAAAGGTGAAATCTCCATGGGGTCTACGGAAGATCGGGACAGCATTGGCCAACGACAAGATGCCACCAGCCCACCATGCAGCGAAATGCAATGAACCAGGGAAAATAATAAACAGACTAATCAAACGAGCATGTGCCGATATGGCTATCCGCGTCAGCACGCGCTGATTGGCTCGTAACTGTGGTACAGTAGATATAGTAGAGGGAAGTGGCGGCGTGGGCGGACTCACCGGCGCATGTCAGGCCGCGCAGCCTCCCGTCACCAGGGCAGAGGCATCCGAACGCCGCGTTCGCGTTGCTGTACCGGCACTGGCCACCGGTCGCGATGCAGGCGGGGCAGTCGCCGATGCCGGCGCCTGCCCAGTCCAGCAGGAACCCGGCCTTCAGGAGCCGGGTGTAGTTGGCCACCGTGGACATCGCCGCCTCCGTCCCGAGCACCGGCAGGTAATTGTACGTGCAGGTCCCGGTGTCGATCGCCGGCGGCCTGTCCCGGTCGTAGCTCCCGCCGAGGTACGCGAAGATGGGCTTGCCGGTGGCGTTCACGTACTGGGGCCCGCGCGGCTCCGTCCCGTTCTTGCAGTCGGAGAGGAAGCACAGGGCCTGGTTCGTGGGGCTGATGTTGAACGGGCTGAGGGCTAGGCTGGACGAGACGTTGAAGTCGGCGCGGCACACGCCGTCCGTGCCCGAGGCGACCCTGTTGTGGTAGACGACGAAGGAGCGGGTGGCATAGTCGATGCTGTGGACGTGGATGGGGGAGCCGCTCATGGAAGCCGTGGTGTTGCCGTCGATGCACCAGAGCTCGAAGGCCGGGTGGCCGCAGGAGGGCTCAGGCGGGGGTCGGCGGGGCGCGCCGAGCCAGAACGGGTACTTGATGGTGAAGTTCCCGCACGCCACCGGCTCGCACTCGGCGGCGTCCACCACATAGACACACCGGAGGAGGAGGAACGAGGCCAGGATGACCACCGCCGGAGGCATGAGACGCGCGACCATCTAGCTATGTCTCTTGGTTGCGATGCGAATCAATGGAGTCTATGGGAGTGGATGATGTGTAGAAGCTAACTAGGTGGACGCAAGGGAAATGCGAATTGTATGGCTTTGTCTGACTGATCTTTTTCTATACGTTGGAAATTTTTATTTTATCAACACGAGTGGGAATCCGGTGCTGCCTCTTGACTTTTGTGGGTTGGAAGAGCAAAAGAAAGCTCTAGTTTGTGGTTCTAATTACTGATTTTTGAGCTGTGTATATGGTTCTGAATTTGTGATTGTGATGTTCATGTTGCAGGTAATTAAATTCTTGGTCATGTCATATGTGCCGGCATGCCGCATATGTGGATAACTATCGATGATCATGTCCCTATGTTAGATACTAGTAAAAGGTTGGTGATGTCTGATCAGGAGGGAGGCAGAAGAAAGTCATGCAAGGATCATTTTGTAGGTGGAAGATGGAACTACCTTGTACCAAAAGCATATGACAGCAGTAGAGATTTGGGGCCTCACAAGCTAGATACAGTACTTTCAAACTGAAAGTGTTTTCTTATGACAGAAATTATAGTTAACATTTAGATGTACCAAATGACACACGATTCACTTATGGGCTTTGCTAATTTCCGACCGTTCTGTTTTTAGGAAACAGATACGAACAGCCAAGCGTACGCGCATGCAGGCGAACAAATTTTGAGCCCGCCAGACTCGCCGTGCTAATTAGCTCCAATTGATTTAATTCAGTATGCATGCATGCATGCATGCATGCATGTGAGGCGAAAATGATAATGTCAGCAAAGATTTCAACAAAATTTAAAATTCAAAATGTTTTGTAGCTCAAATCATTGCTCTGATCGAAAAATTGTTTTCATATAGACGATTCGTCGCGGCGAGACCTTCACAACTGGATCTCATGTCGCCTCTTTTGGTTTCTTTGTTGGATCTCACAGGTTTTTTTCTTTTTTCTCCGATTTTCTTGTTTTTCATTTCTTGTCTTTTTTGTTTCTTTTTTCCATTTTCACTATGTTGCAAATACAAGATGCACATTTTTTTGAGTTTTTAACACTTTTTGAATACATGATCAATATTTTCCAAATATACGGTGAATATTTCAATGGGAATAAATAGTTTTTCACACACGATGTATATTTTTTTGTATACATTAGGAACATTTTTATATACATGTTTAACATTTACTAAATGCATAATTAACTGTATTTAAGTATATATTTTTGGTGTCTACTTTTATCCAATGTATGTTGTACAATTTTTGTACACACCAGGAACTTTTTTATACATGTATAACATTTTTTAAATACATGATCAATATTTTTTCATACACATTGTATATTTATTTGATATATTTTTCGTATGCATGAGAAACATTTTTCTATACAGATTTCACATTTTTTACTGCTTGATTAACATTTCTAGATACATGATCAAATTTATGTATACACATTGTATACATGATACACATTTTTTCTATACATGTTTAGCCAAAGAGGATTACTCACACATCGCAATTGAATCACAGATGAGAGACATTGTAGATGAGTTTACTTGAAGATGAACAATTAACCGTCTTATAATGTCGTTTATTGCAATGTGGTCTTAATTATAAGTATTGATCTTATGAAGATGGAGATGGAGATTGTGGCGGAGAGAGCCTTCTAGGAATCCGAATATCCAATTCTGAGCTCGGGCTCATCTGCACCCGGTCAAGAAACAATTCATAAAAATTTAAAAAAAATCCAAATTTTTTGTGCAAGGTAGATACTTTGGTGCGTGAGGTGCGCTCCAGATTTCAAAGCATTTGGACATTCGAGTAGCACTCAGCAAAAAAGACAAATTGGGTCAGAACAATATATGAACAGTACACTTTTTGACAGACCCCAAATTTGTCTTTTTTGCCGAGAGCTACTCAGATGTCCAAGTGATTTGAAATTTGAAGCGAACATCACGCACCAAATTATCTACCATGCCAAAAAAGGAATATTTTGAATTTTTCTAGTTTTTGATTTGATTTTTTTGCTCAGCGCAGGTGCAGATGATCCTGGGAGCCAAAACGCCTCACTCCTAGGAATCCTCCTTCTCCTTTATATAGTGTGGATTGGCGGAATAGGGAGTCGAGGACACCTCATTGCGAATTGGACTTGGCCTAATACGAAAGGTTTGTGTTCTGACGTCACGAAGGCGGTGGCACCTTATACTACCGTTGAGACACTCTTCTTTGTTAGCTTGTGGGCAATGCCCAGATGGTAGTTTTTTCATGTCTTATGCTAACTGTTCTAAGAAAAATGTAAGAAATCATGTCTTATGGTGGTTACAATCATAAAATGTTCTCACACTGGGTAATCTCTTCATCCGCCTCACAAAACTAAACAAAAACAAATATTCATCTGCCTTAGAAAAAGGAAAAAATTGTTCTTCTGCTAGAGGATCTGTTATGTTGTACAAAATCTAGTGAAAAGATGTCAAACAATTGCCACGCCTTGCAGAATCTACATAATCTAGTTAGATATGCCAATCTTACAAAAAAGAAGTATTACTTAATAATTTCCTTAAAAAACAAATATATTTCTTTTCTATTTCTCTTTGGCAAATCAGCTATTACTAGACTTACACTATTTGACCCTAGTTGCATTTTTATGCACACGTGTAATTCTGGGGGTTCTATTTGCAAAGTTCAGGGACTTGTGTGTATTTTTTTTTCATTTCTTTCGGGTGCTCTTTTGTAGTAATTTGTATTGCGCCTTGATAATGTGTCTTTCTCGGAGTAAAGCTGGTTTACAGAACGATCCAACACGGTCTTTTTCGGAGTAAAGCTGGTTTACGGAACAATGCAACACGGCAATTTGTGATTGGGCGTTGGTTTAGGTACTCAGCCCATCCCCCTGAAAATCGCCCCTTAAAGTTGCCCATAATGTGGAGTATGATACTACTTTCTAATGCAAAGTATCATAAATTAGTATCTTATATTGCTTTATTAATTATCATACATGACACAAAGGAGTATTATATCATTTAATATGATACGGTATCACGATATGATACCATATCCTCTTCTTACTTATTTAATTGTATGTCACATTATAAAAATATCTAGTTGACATGTATGATATCGCTTATGATACTTCATTGCGACCAACCTAATTGCATGTTGTTCTAGCATTTTTTTCCGTCTTTCCAGACACTTTCTCTGCTAAAAAATAAAGATGCATTTTTGGCACACAAATAGTCAAACACCCAAATACGGTTCCGCGCAGAGAATAGAATTTTAGGGGTTGTTTGGTTCCTAGTCACACCTTGCCACACTTTGCAACACCTAATCTTAGCCAAGTTTGACCAAGTTAGGTAGGTGTTTGGTTTTAGCCACACCTAAGGCAAATAATTTTTTATGAGCAGTGAAACCCACATGTCATAGACACAAAAAATATGGCAAGGTTCCCTTAGGCAAGCCAAAATGTGGCTAACAATTTGAGCAACTCAACTAGGACAAGTGTAGCAAATGTGGCAAAAATCATGTGGCAATATACAGCAAAGATAATCACAACCAAACAGCCCCTTATTCAGCTTAAGGGCCCGACATTATTCATGGCTCAACATTTTCTAAACAATGCAGATATAGTAATAGTACTGGTTCCGGGACAAAAGCATCTTAGTGGGGAATATTAGGCGGAAGCATATTACGCTTTTGCAGAGCACGCGCTTTACCCCGGGCGGCTCGATCGCCGGGCCGGCGCTCGCTGGCGTGGATCTCGGTCACCGCGTCCCCGCAGCTTGCCTGACCAGGGACGTCCGGCACGCGGCGGCCGCGACGACGAGCGACCGGCCGGCCCCCGAGGAGCTGGCCACGGCGAGGGGCACGGGCCAGAGGCCCGCCTGCACGGTGCCGCCGATCTCCCGCCGCGGAGCTCCTGCTCGATGTCGAGGTGCTCGGTAAGCTGGCGGCGGTGGCAGAACCGCTTGGGGAGGTGCAGTCGGAGGCGGTCGTAAACGCGCCTCTGCCAGAGGGAGGCGATGCAGTTGCCATCGCGCAAGCCGACAAAGGGCACGCCCTGCTCCCGGAGCATGCCGGCGACGACGATGCCCGCCGGCGCGGCACTGAGGACGATGGGCCCGTTCACCCGCTCGCACGGAGGGGAGTAGAGACCGTCCGCTCGATCAAATTCACCAGGGAGGAGGGGCACCATCGCTGATTTGGTAGCTAGCTATCTCTTCGGTCAGTTGAGCTTCCTGTTGGGTCGATGTTGTTCGTTGAGGGGGTGGGTGTGGGAGCTGGCCGGGGTGGTTAAAATGGGGAGATGTGCGAGACGCCATAGAAAGTGGTGGATCCTCCCTGGGCATCGAACTCTCCACAGGTGCTGCCACATCCACCGGTCTGCCTCCTCGCCCGACGAGCTCTCCCCGCGCTGACGGGTACGTTGGCGCTGGACCATGTCGACGTGAACCCTGTAGGCTGATCGGACAGAGAAGAGGCCCTTATTATCAAACTGCCAGGCCAGGAAGTCCTCATGGTGCTCAAAAATTGGGATCTTCAGGATCACATTTGCATCCATCTCGCTGAAGGTTTGCTGTACCAACTGTTCATCCCAGGTATGCGTCACTGGATCGATGAGTTCAACCACTTTTGTTAGTAAGGTGGGCCCTCTCGGGGTTCTAGGGTAGCGGACTTGCCCCGCCGGGAGCCAAGGGTCCTGCCATATACTTATGTTCTCACCGTCCCCCACCCTCCATACCATGCCCTCCTTCACGATATCTACCCCTTGCAAGATGTTGCGCCAAACCTAGCTGATACCAGGTCTCGGAACCGCCGAAAGTAGGTCACCTCCTGGGTAGTATTTGGCTCGTAGGACTCGGGCACATAGAGATTCTGGTGCTTGTAGCAGGCGCCATACCTGACGCGAAAGCATGGCCAAGTTGAAAGAGTGGAGATCTCTGAAACCCAGCCCACCTTGCTCCTTCGGCAGCGTCATCCTGTCCCAACTCACTCAGTGATGCTTCCTATCATCCTCCTGGTTTGCCCACCAGAACCGACAGATCATGGTGCAGATGTCGTCGCAAAGACCCTTTGTCAGATCGAAACAGGCCATGGCATAAGTTGGTATCGCTTGCGCCACCGTTTTTATCAGGATCTCTTTGCCCTTTTTTGAAAGCAATTTTATCTTGTAACCCTGCAACAGCTCCCAGATTTTATCCCTAATGTACTCAAAGCACGCCTGGCGTGATCTGCCCACATAACTTGGAAGACCCAAGTACTTCCCTTGGAGCCCCTCCCCTCTAAGGCCTAGCACATGGAGTAGAGCATGCTTCTTTTGGGATGGTGTGTTCCTGCTAAACTGGATGGCCAACTTGTCCCGGTTTATCGTCTGCCCCGACCCTCTTTCATACACCTCCAAGATCTCATTCACAGTCTCCATACTTTCCTCTGTGGCCTCCAACAGCAGGAGCGAGTCATCGGCGAACAGGAGGTGTGTTACAGCCGGCGCCGTTGGAGCGATCCTTATGCCCTGTATCCGCCCTACGGTCTCCGCATGATTAATCAGTGCTGAGAGGCCTTCCGCGCAAATCAAAAACAGGTAGGGTGACACTGGATCACCTTGCCTCAAGCCCCGCCCAGGGATCACCGTATCCGTGCACCAGTCGTTGATCTTAAAGAGGAACCGGACCGTGCTCATACACTTCATAATCAGAGCCATGAAGGCCGGCGCAAAACCTAGCTGGTGCATGATTTTCTCCATGAATGACCATTCCACTCTATCATACGCCTTGCTCATATCTAGCTTCAAAGCTGCAAAGTGTGTGGCTCCCATTCTCTTCCTTTTCAGGTAATGGGTCATCTCATATGCCAAAATCGTGTTGTCTAAGATTAGCCTTCCCGGAGAAAAGCACTTTGGTTTGGGGATATGATTTCATTCAAGACACTCTTCAACCGGTTGGCGAGCACTTTGGAGACAAGTTTATACACGACGTTACAGAGGCTGATCGGGCGTAGATCCTTCAAACTCTCTGGGTTTTGAACCTTCGGTATTAGCACCACAAGTGTGTCATTCCATCCCTCTGGCATACTGCCGCCTTGTAACACATGTAAAATCTCCCGCACCACATCCTCACCAATCAGGTTCCAATAATGCTTATAGAAAATCGCCAGAAGGCCATCCAACCCCGGCGCTTTGAGGTCTCCAATACTATCCAGGGCTGCTTTAACTTCCTCTGATGTAAATTCCGCAAGCAGGAAGGCATTCATCTGTGCCGTGATCTTTGGTTCGATATGGTTTAGAATTTCCGCCGACTCCGAACCTGCCATGGGGGTAAACAAGTTAGAGAAATAGTTAGTTACGAGGGCCTTCAAACCCTCCTCCCCCGTCACCTCCACACCGTCCTCCCTCTTCAGACTTTGGATCGTGTTTTTCTTCTTCCTCTCCGATGCAAAGGCCTGGAAATACTTGGTCTTTCTATCTCCTTTTGATAGCCAATCCGCGTGTGCTCGTTGGCGGTATACCAAGTCTAGTTGGTCCTCCAATTTCTCCAACTTGTATTTTATTGTGAGCTCCTTGCGAAGTTGGGCCTGGGATAGTGGCTGTCTCCGGACCGCTTCCAAATCGTCCTTTAGCTTGCGCGCTCTTTTCTGAAGATCACCCAACACATCCCGACTCCATGTATGGAACGCCCGGTTCACTCCTCCCAGCCTACTCGCAACCGACGCACCATGTGCTCTCTCCCATGCCTCATGCACTATATCATCACATCCCTCCTCCAGGAGCCAGCGCGCCTCAAACCTTTTATGTTGCGGGCTGCTCGATCTGGTCCCGAACCCCCTACTGCCATGTTTGCTGGTGCATTACTAGTTCACTAAGAAGGTTTTCAGTTTCAAGAAATTCTTAGCAGCATCAGAAAATTCCTAACCGGCTGCTATGAATTTGATCTGACAGAGGGTCAATAATGTAGCGCAAAAGAGTGGTGCAAGAGGGTCACCAACTGAAAACTGGGGTTATATATGAACTGAATCACATATAATAATGGTAAAAAATACTCGTCATAACCTTGACCGTCAATCATCGCATGCATTCAGACACATGCAAAAAAAAAAAATCAACCACAATGTCTTTGCTCAAAAATCTAAAAGATGCATCATTTTTTTCAAATGAGGAAAAGTGTATTCCAACATACATAACTTACAAATACTCTTTTTCGCAAAAAAAATACATGTCTCATTTATATATCATAAGGATCATAGTACAAGCCATGCACAAACCGACCTGTCAAAACGGAGAAGACAACCAAACGCTAGCCTTTGCACAAAGAAACACCACCCGAGAAGTAAAAATACAAACAAGACCGAAGAATCCTCTGAGGTAAAACCGACGCCCGTCACCTGCCTCTGGCACCACCACAGTAGTCGCCAAAACAAAAAAAATGATGGATCACCTCTATACTTGAGCTCGACATGACTCCATTGCTGATATGCAGCTTTGCGGACCTCCAAGGTGGCTCACCAAAGACGAAACCATTAGCATTGAACGAAACAGATCAGGGCAACACCCCGGACACGTCATCAAACTCCA